ACGATCGTATCAAGTCTTGTTCTAGTAGACTTGATGCTGTAACCAGGAGGGACACTCTCCCCTTTAAAAATCCTGAGTTCAACTGACCCGGTTGATGGTCCTCAACAAGGGTCCCACTCCAGGAATACGGAGGAGCTGTGTCCGTACTCATGTTAGAGTGCAGCAAAGGCTTCCATATTAGGAACGGCCTCAAACTACAGGCAAAGTCAGACTTTCACCAAAGTGTGCCTGGATCATGGTGCCATGATCAACGAAAGCTGCACCCCTATACCCCATTCCATGAGATCATGAACTCATGGGATTCGTGTAATCTTTACACAGGGGGATAAGAAACAACAACAACATAGAATGCTAACTTCCATAGCCATGCGTTGTTTTGTAATTCAGTAAGAGGGCGGTGCTTTTCATTCAAAAAAATTTCGATCACTGCTCGAAGTTCAAAAAAGCGCTGAAGGACTTTCCCACAACTAAGCCAGCGTACGGCAGTATGATAAGGTAAGTCTGTTTCTCCAATCTCTGCAATAAATTGTCGGAATTATCGGTGATTCAGCCCAAAAGATCTGATGAAATTAACAGTTGATATGACTGGTTTCAGAACGCCAGACATATCCAAACATTTTCCGCACAAAGACTGTTGATGAATGATACAATGTAAGACTAATGGTTTTGAGCCGCCGTCATTTTCTACAGCCTTTGACACAAGAGCGACCACTCCTTTATCTTTCCCACTCATGTTTTTGCCTCCATCAGTTGTAATACATTTCAAGTTTTTCCATCGAAGGTTCTTTTTATTAATGGCCATTTCAACTCCTTTAAAAATATCGGTACCAGTAGTTGTGCCATGAATACTATACATATCAAGAAGTTCTTCGTGCACTTCATAGCTTTTATCTACTCCTCTAATATAAATCAACACCTGAGCAGTATCTGACACATCCGTTGACTCATCCAAGGCCAAAGAAAACCACTCAACATGTCCATTTTTGTCGAACAGTTGAGAGGATATATTTTCAGCGATGTTTTCTACCCTTCGAGCCACAGTGTTTGCTGACATACTGACAGTTTTTAATAAATTTACCTTTTCAGGGCACATTTCTTCGACTACTGCAATTATGCATTCCTTGATCATTTCTCCATCGGTGAATGGTTTTCCACGTTTTGCAATTTCAAGAGCCACACGAAAGATGGCACGAGTTGCCGCCTCTTGTTCAGTTTTGACTTTTGTAAATAAAGATTGCTGCGATTTCAATCCGCGCTTCAAAGCTTCGAATTTTTCTGTCCGCACAATTCCTGTATATTTTGAGTAATTTTGAGAATGTTTTGTTTCATAATGACGTTTCATGTTATATTCTTTGAGAACGGCTATGCTTTCATTGCAAATCAAACATAGCGCCTTGTTACTGGACTCAATTACGAAATACTGAATGTTCCACTGATCTTTGAATTTTCTGCATTCACTATCAATTTTTCGCTTCTTTTCCATTCTGCTAAATCACACACAAAAGCAACAATTAATAATAACATTTAATTACAAATAAACATAACAATTAATACAGGAAAATTAATAATATGCAGTGTTGCCATCTTGGCCCTCGGAACTTACTGGAGTAATCAGTATGGCCCTAAGGCTGGAAAGACCCCATCAGTATGGCCCTAAGGCTGGAAAGTTTGGAGACCCCTGAGTTACACGATCAGGAGATGCTTTTTAAAATGTATCCACCTGATCTTAGTACAATTTCACTTTGGTACTATTTCTTCACATGTGAATAAGTTCATGCGTTGATTGTTTTTCTTATTATAACACTAACGTTGTTCAAATGTGTGAACACATCGATAATTCACTTCAAGATTTCATCTAATAAATAAAAAACATATATATTTTATATGGCATATTTTGATTTTAAATGTATACATCCAATCTTGTGTCCAAAATTATATGAAAACACAAAATATTAGCTTCAAAAGTACTTGAAACAAAAGAGTGTAAAATCTAATTACGCATTTCAATAATTACACCAATTATCACATATGGATTTATCCAATTTTTATTTGTCACAACTATAATAAAAATACCGAACAAAACGAAAACATTCGAAAGTAAATAATATTTTTTATAAATGAAAAAAGTTACCCCTACAAATAAACTATTTAACGAGCATTAATAGCAATTTATTTAATTTATATAATTAGGTAGCAAAATAGATGCTTAAACTGAGCAACATCTAGTTTCTATATCGCCATTTTTATAGATGAATTTTTTCTTTGAAAGATTTCGTCATATATATATATTTACGCAAGTTTGGCCTTAAATACCCATTTCTTGGTTTTTCAGAAAGCCACTGGGACCAAAAACTATTTTTTGGTCGCAGTGGTTCAGCCTACTCCACGCTGACGAGCGCCAAAAGCGCGAAACGCGTTCGTGGATGGCTTTTCTTGATTAATCAAGAAATCGGGTTGGCCAAATATCAGGGAACAGGCTAAATCAATGTTTAGTTGATTTCTGTTCCACCAGATGGCGCTCTGCCTTCTGTAAAGCACATGTGCTCCTGGTCAGGATATGCCATTTTTAATATTGATTTCAACACCTGATCTTTTTATCTTTTATTTTTTCTTTCGGGAGAGGCGCTCTGTGCTTCCATATATATATGTATATATATATATATTATAATCAAAAAGAGGCATATCCTGACCACGCTCACATGAGCTTTTTAGATGGGAGAGAGCCATCTAGCGGAATAGAAATCAACTAAACGCTGATTTAGCCTGTTCCCTGATATTTGGTCAGCCCATTTTCTTGATAAATCAAGAAAAGCCAACACGAACAAGTTTAGAGCTGTTGGCCCTCTTTAGCGTGGTGCAGGATGTACCTCTACGACCAAAAATATTTTGGTCCTAGAGGCTTCCTGAGAAATTAAGAAAAAACGGGTATTCAAAGCCAAACTTGCTTAAATACGCTGAACATGTGAAAAAACAATAAAAAAGAAAATAATAAAAATATCAGGATATGGATTTTTAAATTTTAAACCAACACCTGACATTTTTTAACATTTTCATTTTTTTTCATACAACACACACATACAGTATATAAACTCATTTTCCATTTACCAATAAAATTTGTAATAATTATTTTTGACAATGTGTTTCTTTTGCATATAAAATTTTTTATCTCTACAGACATTTTAATAAATTATAAAAATGATTGAATGAGAGGGCTATAATTAATTTATTTTATTATATGTTTTGAAAATAAAGCAATCCATAAATGAATCTTCAATTAAAAAGGCATATATTAGATCAAAAATGATTTATTTTACCAATATTTTGATCCAATATATGCCTTTTAATTAAAGATTTATTATATGTATATGCATAAAGACCTGTAACCATAGGTTCTCTAAACACCTCTAAGCTGCCTTCCTTAGTAAATGCATGGTGTATTATAACACCAATCCAATACAATAGAGAGAGTTCATCACTTATGAGCGAAGCCTTTTATTTCAATAATTTTTATCATTGCAGTAAGGTCGGTAGAGAGAATATTTGGTGAAATTTGTCGAATAAAACACATTGACAAAAATAATTATTTCAAATTCTAATTACACGCATGCTTTTCTTTCCTTTTTATTAAATAAACAATATAATATATATATATATATATATATATATATATTCTCCACTAACCCTTAAATAATACAGTATTGGAAGTTTACCCCACTGATGAGTCAGTCCTTCCCAATATTTCATCATTGCAAAAAATTACAGAAGGGAGTTATTTATTCTCAAATAGAAAGACATACGCGTAATTAATTTAGTATTTAGAATACAGATGGCACGTTTATATCATAATAGCAAACCCTTGTTTGTAATGATGTATTGTCAAATATGACCGTGGAAATGTAGAGAAACGTGAAATAACCAGCATTGCAATTGTATGAACGTTTAAATTAACAAAGAAACAAACAAAAACATTCTTAGAGATTGCCAGCTAATACGAAAAATAAAAAAATAAACAAAATCAGTCCAAACTAAGTTATATATCAATTTAAAAACAAAACAATTAAATATTAAATAAAAAAGACATATATTGGATCAAAATATAATTTAATTTATCAAATTATGTTTTGATCCAATATATGCCTTTTGATTAAAAATATATTTATCTATTTATATGATTGCTCTCTTTCTGTAGTTTCAAAACAATTAAATATGAAAAATAATAAATCTGAACCATTCTACGAGATGACAAAATGTGATAAGCCCTAAAGACAGGAGTAATATTATATGATAAAGTTAATAGTAAATTAATTTTTATATTTGATAAGCTAAGTGAATATTAATTCAAAGTATGAAAAATAGAAACTATTTTAGACGCGTAAGATTCTTTTTGAAATTAAACAATTTCTACTGCCCTTACTGTTTAATTTCAAAAAGAATCTTACACGTCTAAAATTGTTTCTAATTTTCATAACAGATGGCTCGCTAGTGCATCTAATTCAATGTATATTTATAACTGTGCTCTAGATTAGCAAATTCGAATAAATGTCATTTGAAGCTGGTCGTTGAGGTTCAACCTGTCCCATACTAACAAACGCCCAACAGGAAATATTCCACGCGTATATACATTTGGACTTTGTATTCATCAGAAGGTTTTGAACAATATTTTTGAATAAAATACATTGTATAAACGATTATTTGATACGTTTACTTCTATAGGTGAACTAAGCCATTGTCAACTCTCAATTATAATACCAGAAGATATCTTTCTCCTGATATATGTATATAAGGTAGTTTTGTGTGATGTTTAATTATGATGTATTAATGGGTATTTAGCATGTGCCATTTAGTATGTTCGAAGTTATATTAGGTGACTTATACACTGAATTTCAATTGGATGAAAGAAAAAGAATAATGAAGCTGAGCAGTATGTAATTGTCCCTTAAATAAAGCTCTACGAAGGTTTGATAGGGGCCGTCATTCCTAAATATTCTTCAAAGGAACCCTACCATTTAAGGCGCGATACATCTTAAAGGCTGATAAGAATAAAGTCCTTTGGTGCATCTTGCTTTTGATGGTGGTGTTCATGTCTTCGCTTTGAAGGTAAGTAGCATCCGTAGGTCAGCATATTGTATGAATTTGCGCATGCTGAATTATTTGGCCTTGTTGCAAGATAAAAATCATAATCTATGAACGATCGTATGTTGCAAGACCTGCGCATGTTTTATGAACCATTGTATGAAGCCATTACTTTTCATACATACACAGCCACTTAGATCGTTTTCCTGAATTTAGGAGGCCTCAAAGATTAACAAGGCGAAAGGTTTCATCATAATATTAAAACGATGGAGGCCCACTACCATAAAATATAGGAACACACACATGATTTCACATTACTGCTGAACTTTCATAAATTTATTCAAAATACGATTAAGAAAGACATGTGGTTATAAAAATTCACATTAATACTTATTATATAAACTAAATGAATGTAACAGGTATATTTTAATGTTCTCTAAAATCATTTATAAATATTCTTCAAATGAGCACTACCATTTATAGCAAGATATATCATGAGGGCTGTTATAAGTAAAGTCCTTTGGTGCATCTTGCTTTGGATGGTTCTGTTTATATCGTCGCTTTGAAGATACTTAGCATGCATGCGTAGCTCTGAATGCTGTAGGAATTAGCGCATGTGTTTAATGATTTGAACTTGTTGAAAGATATCAATTAAGATCCATGAACCAACGTACTGAATGTTGCAAGACCTTCGCATGTTTAATGAATATAAGACATTAAACAGTTCATATCGTAAGAGGTAATGGGTGCAATATAGACCAACGTGTGTACTAAATAAACAGTTGTATTTTTTATAAACTTGTGGTATATTGAGTGAATATTTGATATGAATCTTTGTTTATATATATATATATATATATATGTATATATATATATATATACAAGGTATGTCCCATAAGTTTCCGGACTGGGTCCATAAAAAAAGGTAAGATTTTTTAAATTTTTTTTTATTAAAACTTTTCAAAGTAATCCCCCCTTGCTTCAACGCACCAGCGCATCGTTTCTCCCAATTGTCGAAACAGTTTTTATAGGCCTCTTTTGGAATGCTCTTCAATGCCAGCAGCGATTTTTCTATTATGTCTTCCCTGGTGTCAAAATGTCTTCCTTTTAGAACTGCTTTGAGTTTGGGGAACAGGAAAAAGTCATTTGGTGCGATGTCTGGGGAATAGGGTGGTTGAGGTAGGATTTCTGTCCCGTTTTTCGCCAAAAAAACTCGTCACCAAGTGCGCTGTGTGAGGGCGGGCATTGTCATGGTGTAGGATCCAGTCATCATTAGTCCATTTTTCTGGCCTTTTTTTTTCGAATCGCTTCCCTTAGACGGCGAAGAATGCTCAAATACATTCCTTAATAACTGTCGTGATGAACAATGCCCTTGTTATCCAAAAAAGCGACCAGCAACACCTTGTTTCTGGATTTCAATAATCTGGATTTTTGGGTCTAGGCTCACCCTGACCTCTCCACTCGGCAGATTGACGCTTGGTTTCAGGGTCATAGCCATAGACCCATGTCTCGTCGCCTGTGATTATCTTGTCTTTCCATTCCGGATCCGTTCTTGTCATTTCCAGCATGTCCTCACAGGTTGCAAGCCGAAACAGTTTTTGCTCATTAGTGAGGAATCTTGGGATGAATTTTGCAGGAGTCTTTTTGAGCCTCAAATCTTCGGTTACGATCCTTTCAATCGTTGTTTTAGAGATGCCTGTGTCTTGCTCTAGCTCCAGCAAAGTGGTTCGAGGATTTTCTTTTATCAAATCGGTGATTTTTTGCACATTTTCATCAGTCCTTTGAAATGTTGGGCGTCCTTGACGAGGATCATCTTCAATGGAAATTCTGCCAGCTTTAAATCTAGAATGCCATTCAAAAACTTTGGAGCGTTATTGGGGAATGCTTTATTAAGCATTTCAAAAGTGTCGGTTGCTGATATTTGAAGTTTCACACAAAATTCTATGCAAATCCTCTGCTTCAATTTTTGTTCCATCGTAAAATCGCCGCAGCGCAAGGTGTAACCTTTAAATAAATTAGAATAACTTTGGCGCGCGCGCACGTACCGCCTCGATATTGGTACCACCGTGTTGCCAGATATTTTTTCTATAATAAACTCTCAAATTTATTTACATTTTTCATTTATTTATTTTTTTATGGACCCAGTCCGGGAACTTATGGGACATACCTTGTATAATGCACTAGCGCGATATCTGTTATGAAAATTAGAAATTGTTTAATTAAAAAAAAAAATCTTAAGCGCGTCTAAAATAGTTTCCAAATTTCATATATATATATATATTGTCATTCAATAACCAAAATATATTGAATTGGCTTTTCATTGCTATATTAAAAATATTGTTAATAAAGACCGATTAAAAATGTAGAGTTCAATGTCGCTACCTGTTCCAAAATAACTTTATTCGGTACCGCTCAGAAGAGAAACCTAGTTTATGTTATTTACAATGAATAACACGAACAGCTTCTTCATAAAAAGTGTACAATGCGAGATTCGATCCTTGTTGATGGCTGTCGGAAATCAACGGTTTATATCGCCGGCCACCGACTTTTTATATCAATATCGCCTTTCGTTGAAATTGATATTATGGTTGTTTTATGCAATAGAGAAAATATACTCAAGAAGGTATCATGTTTGTATTTATATTTCACGTTCATTATACTTTTTTGTGAGTTTATTTCTTTCTAAATAATGGAATATCGCAGCTATGGCAAATGACTATTTAATAAATATTATCTTCAAGTAAACGTATTTATTGTTCAATTGATGGTCTCTTTTTTTCGTGAAGGTTGTTATTGCAATTATTCTATGTGTGTGTGCTACCGGAATGTTTACTAGGTTGAAATACTCGTTTCGTGAAGGTCGGTACTACTCTAATTCTATGTGATAGCGAACTGTTAATGGGTTAAAATTCTTGTTTCATGAATGTTGGTATGGCAATATGTTTGCTAGGGCAATATTCTCGTTACGTTGAAGGTTAGAACTACTATGATTCTATGTAATATCGGAAGGTTATATTTGCAATTTGTCGCATTTTGCATGTCTTCTAAGCATCCTTTAAATGTCTTCCAAAGAATGCTACCATTTAAGGTAAGATATAACTAAAGGGCAATATCAAGACCCTATAGTTGAATCCTTCCCTAGATGGTGGCTTTCATTTCGTCATTCTGAAGGTAAGTGCATGTTGCATGGCACCCCACATTTTATATAATTTAGTGGAATTAGATTAATTGCACATAGACTCGTGCATGTTTCATGAACAAACTCTTGTTTGCATAGGGCATTCCATGATGAAGTAAGTATATCATTTTACTTTATTAAAAATGCCGTGTTTTATATATTTCTTTTTTTTTTCGGGGATATTATTGAAAACACTGTCCAAAAGACTTCTTGATTTTAATTTCAATTCACAAAAAAAAAAAATGGGGAGGGGGGGATTCTTTCGAGCTACGCGAGTTTTTTACCGGGAAATCCTTCAATGTGGAACTCACGATGATGAAGGTAATTTACACATACACGAAAAATGAACACTTAGTCTACATAACCTTCCAACTCGTTAATTTAACATTTGGGAATTTTCCGTTGAAGAGTTGTGTCCAGAAAGATTGCCTTACCTTTTACTAAACAAAAACATTTCGCAGAGTGTTTTTTTCGAAGTATCTGATTACATTTGTGAAAAATATATTAAATAAAAAATACATTGCTAAAGAATATTTTATGTATATGAAAGATATTTTGTGAATATGATATATATATATATCAACAGCAATTATTCATTTCCCATTCACCAAATATGTACTGGTTCAAGATACCTGAATAATTTTTCACTGGCCTCCATGTGTTGATCGTAAATCTATACATCAAACTAAAACATTAATACAGTTAACCAAATTCCTTAAAATATATAGTATATTATTTTTTTTATAAATACGTCGAGAAAGAGAGAGAGAATAAATAAATATGAAATATTCAAAATAGTTTTGAAATATAGAAATAAATTATAATTGTTCGGTACACTTTTTGAATGGTACACTATGACAGGTTCGTTTGGTATTGAAAGAATGATTCAATTAATCATCCTTGATATTTTAAATTTTATTCAGGATAAATATAGATATAAATATTATGTTACAAATTAATTTTAGTAATTAAAGAAGTTAAAAATGTTCGATTGAAAAGGATGGATTGGGAAGGAAGTCAGTCCGTGTTGGCCGTCAGAATTCGAAGGGCCCACTCCCGTGCTTCCCACGTGACCGCCGCCGCCGCGCATGCGCACCGACCGTGACGTCGCCACCGTCCCTCGGCGGTGGTGTTGATTGAAAACTGTTCTTCTCTTCGTCGCGCGGGCTTGCCTTTCACTAACATTCCTCCCACCAATTTAATTGATAAATTAAATTCTAATACTATATTTTCTTGGCTATAGTAGAGGCCAATCTAAATTTGTTTTATTTCTAACGGAAAAAGTCGCTGTACCGGACGAAGAAAAACTCCCGATGATGTCTTCACTCTTGCGACTCGAACTTGTCCATCGGCCCCAGGTAGCACCTCCTCCACTTTTCCTAATGGCCATGCAATCCTTCTCTTTTGATCGTTTCCTATAAGTACTATTTCTCCTACCTCAATCCTCTGTGATTTTCTTGCTTTTCCATGATGAACCAGCATTGCTAAGTATTCCTTCGTGAATCTGGCTCTAAGTTCTTCTCTACAAGCTTGCATATTTCGGTAGCGAGAAACCATTGAATCCCGTTCTACTTCATCGGCTTCTGGTAAAATTGAGCTTCCACAGTTGTTAATAAGTTTGTTTGGGGTTAGAGGCGCCAATTCATCATCATCTTCTGATACATACGTAAGTGGACGGTTATTCACTACAGCTTCCACGTCACAAAGCAGTGTCTGTAATTCTTCGTTAGTGACACGTGCAGATCCCAACACTGACCTAAGTAGCTGCTTGACGATCCCGATCATGCGCTCCCAAAAACCTCCCCACCAACAGGCCGTTGGTGGA